TCAGTTTAATAATAAGTTGATCAGCTTCTGAGGGCTTATTGTGCGTTCTCTGTCGCCATCTTGTGGATGGACAACGTCAACCATCTTTGCTCTGCTCAGTATGAAGGCTGATGGATGTGGACAAGCTGTATCTCCTACATTATTAATTTTTAAAATAGGCACTATGCTTATAAATAAACTGCATAGTTGTAATCTAAACAACTACACTGCAAAAACCTCAAAAGTGCATTATGTTGTCCAACAGCTGCAACATTTGTCAAACTGTTGTGAGTTTATTGATCTGCTGTCACTCTATGTGGGCGTAGTAATACACAAGGTTGAGGAGGCTGTTCGAGTGCTGTTATTGCAGAATACCGCACGGCTATCAGCCAATCAAATTCGAGAACTAGGCAGAACTGTTGTATAAACATGTACATAAAAAATAATGCACAAATATACAAATAATGAATTAAACTGAATTAGCCACTAATTAGCTAAAATTCTAAATAGTTACACACTGCCATAAGATTAGATAAGATTGGAATATTTTTATAGTTATAATAATATTAATAGAAGAACGCTTTGCAGGTAAAACAGCAGTCATTTCAACTACAATACTTTAAGATGCATCATCAAATCATAAGCAATTAATAACATCTGTAATGTGTAATTTTCTCACAACATAACAGGCAACAGGTAAACACCTGCCAACACCTACCTGTATATTTAATACGATCTGCATTGCATTTACAATGTGAAGGGCAAATCAAACAATGGGCTGCGTGCGTCTCCAGTTGCTCCTCTCTTCATTCTGCGCATGTAGCCTGTTCTCATTAATATGCCATTCCTGTTCGCTCTCCATTTCACTGCCAGGCCATTTGCAGACAGTGGCGGCTGTCTATGTTCACAGCTGTGTTTGATGGTACGCCGCACAAAGCTCACATCGCTTATGGCACAGACCATCTCTGCAGGTCATTCGGCCTTGACTTTCAAGCCGTTTGTCAGGGCTCACTCAATATTTAACAATGTTTACGTTAAATCCACTCCTTTTATATTCATTATGGAGCAGAAGCATGAAAACCTGAAGCTCGCCATTGACAATAGATGCTATTAATGCACCGTTTAACTCCCCGTATGTCATTGTCGGCACAAAAGTAGACTTTTGAAGACAGAAAAGCGCAGTGAAGCAGATACCTGTGGATATTTCCTCCAACGTGACGTGTTTAGCATGCGCTCGCAGCAGACGGCGTTGGCGCATTAGCATGCCTGTGGTGTTGTGAGTCTGGCCTGCCTGCTGCCCGCCTCTGGGCAATTAACTTTAATGACAGACAGGCTGGAGGGCTTTCAGAAGGTGCATCGGATAAGTTGATACAGATGCATAAAGACTGCCACTCTATCTATCATCTCATATCTGTTCACTAGGGATCTCATCTCTCCCAGCCTGTGTTGTTTTTTTTTTCTCTCTCAGCCCAGATAGAAACCCATTCATCTCCGCCAGAAGTGTATTTCAATGTGAATGGCGGCTCGCGATTGGCTTAGAGAACGTGCTTGGGGAATTTCTGCATTGTCTCTTAAGAGGAGGGTTTAAGTCGGAGCATGACGGAACATAACAAGAGACACAATTTATTCCCGGGCACGGCTGGCACTTGGACAGGGAGATAATGAAGAGCATAGGTCACCGCAGATGACTTTAAAGCCACGCCGCCCGGGCTGAAATGTATTAAATATTGCGAGCGTTATGTGCCGCTGCTGTCTGAGGAAATGATATGAGGGGCTGTTAGTCAGAGCGGGGAGGCAATTAGCAAGCGCCCGGCGTTTGAAATCACAGCATATCAGACACATACTGATCACTGACATTAGAAAAAGCCAGCTGAGAGAAATGGGCCTGATAATTCCCTCTTTCAGCACCTTGTGATGTTTACTCAATATTAATAACTCTGTCATATGAGCGCAACTTTCTGTCTGTCCAATTTATGGGTGCTTAGTTAGTTCAAGTTTGTTTTGAAATGTGGTTATACAGCTCAAACTTAGTCATTTTAGTGTCCAATTAAGCAGTTTGAAACGACTAATAATCAGCTTCAGGCTGTTTGAAACAAGTGTGTGAACTGGTCAGGATATGCTCTTGATTTCATTGCCTTTGGTTTATTTTCAGGGCAGTGTTTTAATACTAAACTAAAAATAAACATTACAACATTTTTGTTGCTGATCTTTCTCATTGAAATTATATAAAAAGGTTTGCTTAAACCAAAACTGGCTAAAACTAAAATGACTGAATTCTAGTCTTAAACTAAAATAAACTGCATATGAACTATAAATTTGTATTGATTTTTAAACCTTTACCTTAAGCTTTAAATGTTTTGCTCAAATATAAATATTAAAATTAAAGGTAATATTTTAAAATAATGTTCCATTAGCTAATGTATTTACCAACATAAACTAAGTGTAAACATCTTTGTACAGCATTTATTAATCATAGTTCAACATTTACTGATGCATTATTAAAATCCAAAGTTTTGCTTGTTAATATCAGTTAATGCACTGAGTTAAACAATGAACAACTGTATTTTCATAAACCAGTTATGTTTATGTCAAATCCACTCCTTTTTTATTCATTATAGAGCAGTAGTGGGAAAACCCGAAGCTTACCAGCGACAAAGACGCCAGTAATCCTTAAATTGCACGTGTTAGTCAGTAAATATATTAATGTAAACTAATGGACCTTAATTTTAAAAAGCCTTACATTTTAAAAACACAATATTAGTTCTTAAAAAGTCCTAAATTCAATTAAATATTGACTTGTAGGTCATAAACATTTTAAACAGGTCTTAATTTTCCTTTGTTTATACCTTTCCCTGTACTGGGTTGCAGCTGGAAGGGTGTCCCCTGCGTAAAACATAGGCCAGAGTAGTTAGCGGTTCATTCCGCTGTGGCGACCCCTGATAAATCAGGGATTAAGCTGAAGGAAAATGAATAAATGAAAAGCTATCCAATTTATCCCACACACCCTATCACCAACAATACATCTCAAACTATATCCACAACTAATATTATAACAGTCTGTTGTGCATATATTTAGTTATTAAAGAGTTTTTGTATACAGCTAGGGTCTGCTTGTTTTGACAGATTATTTAAAATATATAAGAAATATAAAATCCAAGAAATAATATATTAGAAAATTTTTTTGGATGGGACAAGTACATTTTTTTTCCTGCTTAGCCATTTTAAAAAATCCTTAGCTTTTAGTCCTGTATTTAAGGTCTGTGAGTTCCAGACTTAATAAGTCTGAATTTTTATTCTTCATGGTCTTTAAAAGATCCTAAAAAGTCTTAAATTTGACTTAGTGAAACCTGCAGAAACCAGTGCTTAATTAGTGAATTGCGAGATCCCGGACAAATCGTGGGATCGGATCTGGCATGTTACCACGTTGGACGTAAGTTAAGAGCCAGTGGGGTTAGTTGTCGTGGACGAAAGTGAAGAGGGTTGGGGAGTCACAGAGGAAAGTGAAAGTGAACAGTGGACACTGAGGGGAGGAGGGCGGTTAAGAAGGGTGATAGGTAAAATGAGGTACCGGATCAAATTTCATTGGTGGCTGATCCGGCGTGTTTCGGGCACAAATTAAGCCCTGGTAGAAACTAATGGTAACAAAGATAAATACTGTAATAAATGTGTTGTTCATTGTTTTGCACATGTTAGTCAGAAAATACATTCATGTAAACTAATCTAACTTCATTTTACCAAATAAACAATTAAAAATTAAAAAGTCACATATTGAAATTATCAAATAAATCTACACTAAAAACAGATTATAAGTATGAAAAGATGGCTCAAAACATTATTAAATGCTGTAGGATTTAAGAAATGCATAAACACTGGTTTGATTTGATTCACTTTAAAAGAAACGCTCTCTTTTCACTCTAGTGTTTCACACTTACTTTAACGAGTAACTTTTTGAGCTGTTCATATTGCCATATTGGTACGTTTGATTTGTTTTAAATGTGCAATTCCTAACCAAAGTCTATGGTGTTGCTCGTTGTATTTTAGTATGGGCAGATATTTGTGAACAATCTTTAAAAGAATCAGCTATGGAAATCCGTTTCCATAGCTTGTATTGTATGCTTCTGATTTATTAAAGGTAACTGACTCCTAGGCAAGATTTGTTTATTAGTCAGACATGTTTCACTGGTAGCACAGTATGTACTTGATTCACTAAACCAACACAGGCTCATTCTGAAAACATTGCCCTATACCGTTCTGCAGATCATGAATTATACAGCCAGAAGTATGTATGGCTGCATTTCATGTTTAAAACAAATGCTACAGGGGCGGTATAAAACCATTCTTTTCACGCTAGCAGCTGACTGCTTACCTCAGTATGGAAGGCTTTCCCGCTAATACCAGTTTGTCTAGAAGCTTGCAGTGTACGTTGGAGGACTTGAGACACAGAGGAGTTGACCACAACAACAGGGTTTAAGTCCTGTTAAGAACGGTTCCAGAAAGCAGGGAAGACAAAAACAGAAGCCAAAAATAAAATAAACATAGTAAATCAAGTAAATAACAGGGTGAAAATGTGGTCAAATCTGAAAATGTGGTAAAAATCAGGGCATCTTTTCTTTTTCTGGGTTGCTTTTCAAAACAAAACCGGTTGGGTTTAGGGAAGGGGGTGCATGGGGATTATCAGTCAGTTGGTCAGTCAATCACTCGACAGTGGCCTCTGGTGGATTTACATGAGAAGGCCAGGTGTGGATACCTCTGGTAGATACCCAAAAACAAAACCTGCAAAACAAAAACAAAAAAACGTATCTCCTGAGACATATTTGGTGCTCTCCAGAAATGTATATAGGACAATGTTTTCAGAATTAGCCTGGCTTGCACTAAACACAACAGCCTCAATGAGAGTCATTTCTTTTTGAATCACACTCTACTGGAATTTGGAGTCTGTTTACATTATTGCCCAACCAAATTCTCTGCAAGATAAAAATCCACTTAATAAATGCATGTCTTCATTGTTGTGTGTTTGCCAGGTGATCACCCATTTGAGTGTGAGTTCTGCGGGAGCTGTTTTCGTGACGAGAGCACATTGAAGGGTCACAAGCGCATCCACACCGGAGAAAAGCCTTATGAATGTAACGGCTGCGGCAAGAAGTTCAGCCTCAAGCACCAGCTGGAGACTCACTACCGTGTCCACACAGGTCAGACACATCTGTTCCAGCATTTCTCCTCATCTGCTCTACAAACACTTCACTCTAATAGAAGCTCACAGGTTAATAGACCCACACCATGCTGGAGATATTTAATCCAGCACTCTTGCTTCCGGCAAATAAGATGTCATAAAATAAGACAAAGGCTTCTACAAAAGAGTTGCCTTACAGTAAAAGGCCACCGGTTTAAGCCAAATCTTGACGTTTTCACAACCATGCTGGATTAAATCTTTTGCATAAACAGTTTTATTATTTTCATTTTATTTTTTGTGATCATTTATTTGCATTAAATGTAAATATTATACTTATATGTATGTACACTATCGGTCAAAAGTTTGAGGTCAGGTTTTTTTTTTTTTTAAGAAAATTGGTCTGTTCATCAAGGCGGCATTTACTAAATGTAAAAAAATATGAAAATTGTTAAATATTTATTAACATTTTAAACAACTGATTTCTTATTGTATGCAGTTTCAAATGAAAGTATTACTCCAGTCATTATTGCTTTTATTACCATTACTATCAATAATATTATTAACAATGATAATAATAATAATAATACTTAATATTTTAGTGATTTCTGAAAGATCATGTGACTTTGAAGGCTGAAGTAATGAACCTGAAGTAATTTCATCTTTAAAACTACTGGAATGCATGATTAAATCTCCCCATGTCCTCCCTAGGCTTCGGTTTTCTTCACAAGTCTAAAAACGTGGTACAGGTGAATTAGGTAGGCTAAATTAGCCGTAGTGTAAGTGTGTGAATGAGTGTGTGTGGGTGTTTCCCAGTGATGGGTTGCAGCTTGAAGGGCATCCACTACATAGAACATATGCTGGATAAGTTGACAGTTCATTCCGCTGTGGCGAACCCAAATTAATAAAGGAACTAAGCTGAAAAGAAAATGATTGAGTGAATGAACATTTCACAAATTTACAATGGCTATGTCCGAAACCGCATACTTCCATACTATACAGTGCGCTAAAATCAGTATGCGAGCTGAGTAGTATGTCCGAATTCATAGAATTTGAAAATCAGTTTGCAAGAAGTACCCGGATGATTTACTACTTTCAGCGAGATTCTGAAGTGCGCATCCCATGCACGCTGCACTGTCCCATGATGCCCCGCGAGAGAATTCATGAATGGTATTGAAGCGACACAACTGATGCAGGTAGGTCACGTGACCATGACAAAATGGCGGATGTAGTACGTCCAAATTCCATTCATACTTTTCCATTCATACTGTATTGAACGTACTTTTCTAACGGCCAAGTAGTACGTTTAAATTCAAATGCAATACCTACTGAGTAGTAGGTGGTGTCGGACACAGCCAATGTGTTCTGTATTTTTGATGAAATAAATGCAGCTTTTGTGAGCAGGATAAGCTTATTTTATACATTTGAAAATCCTACTGACTACTGACCCCAAACTTTTGACCTGTAGTGTATTTGCAGTAGTTATCAGAGTTTATATTGTACTTTATGTACAGTGTATACTGATAATATTGTGTGTGTGAGTTGTATTTTTATTATCATATATATATATATATATATATATATATATATATATATATATATATTAGTGTTTAGCTGCAATACAGAATAAAATTGATTCTGTTTTAGAAATACTTTCTATTTCAGCCACATTGAGGCTGAACAACAGCATAAACTACAACAACCAAGTCAATGATCACCTCAGGTGCCATTAAATGTTTGAATATCATTTAACGCAGGGGTGGGCAAACTCGGGCCGGTGTCCTGCACAGTTTTTCTCCAACACTAATAAAACACACCTGAACAAGCTAATCAGTGTCTTCAAGATCACTAGAAATCTATAAGCAGGTGTGTTTGATTAGTGTTGGACCTAAACTCCGGCACTCCAGGACCGAGTTTGACCACCCCTGATTTAGCATGATAAATTGACATATTAAAAGCAGCATTTAGTTTCCATCAAATCTTGGAAAGAAAAATTAATTTGTTCATTTTCCGTCAGATTGTTCTCTATTTCAGAAGTTGCCGCAGTAGAATGAAGCGCAAGCTATTCCAGCATATGTTTTATGCAGCGGATGCCCTTCCAGCTGCAACCCAGTATTGGATAACATCCATACACACTCATTCACAAACACACTTATACACTACAGACAATTGAGTTTATTCAATTCACCTACAGTTAAAGTCAGAATGATAAGCCCGACAAATAATTAGCCCCCTGTTTATTTTTCCTCCCGATTTCTGTTTAATGTGGAGAAGATTTTTTCAACACATTTCTAAACATAATAGCTTTAATAAATCATCTCTAATAACTGATTTATTTTATCTTTGCCATGATGACAGTAAATAATATTTGACTAGATATTTTTCAAGACGCTTCTATAGAGCTTAAAGTGTTATTTAAAGGGTTATCTAGGTTAAATAGGTTAACTAGGCAGGTTAGGGTAATTAGGCAAGTTATTGTACATGTATTTGTATTGTTCTGTAAACTATTTAAAGAAAAAAATTCTTAAAGGGGCTAATTATTTTTCCCTATAATGTTTTTAAAAATATTAAAAACTCATTCATTAAATCATCATTTGGGAAATATTTAAAAGAGAAAAAAAAATCCAAGGGGGGCTAATAATTCTGACTTCAACTGTATAGCACATGTCTTTGGACTGTGGGGAAAACCGGAGCACCCAGAGGAAACCCACACAAACACAGGGAGAACATGCAAACTCCTCACAGAAATTCCAACTGGCCCAGCCGGGACTTGACGGGTGGCCTTCTTGCTCTGAGGCGACAGTGTTAACCACTGAGCCACTTTGCTATTTTGGAAATAAAATGCCTATCATAAATATAGTTTATTTCCCAGAGATGGGTTGCGGCTGGAAGGGCATCCGATGCGTAAAAACTTGCTGGATGAGTTGGTGGTTCATTCTGCTGTGGCGACCCCGGATTAATAAAGATTCTAAGCTGACAAAAAAATGAATGAATGAAAATATAGTTTACACATGAACATTAGAACTGTACTCAACATCATCAGTCACGTGTACTTTTGCATCAGCATGTACTTTTAATAATGTAAAAGAGATTTTATATTTAATAGTTTGTATTATAATTTGTCTGTTTGGTTAGAAGTGCAGTGCACTATTATGCACTTCTGAATGGCTCTGGAATTTACATGTTTCTTTACTAGCCAAACTGCTTGTCTCTGGAATCTCGTTGGGTTGTCAGGACACAGTGTCAGGTCTAATGCTGGAAAATCAGTGACAGTGTACATTAAATGATACTTTTACTACTGTATGTCTTCTTTTTTGACGAAGATATATCTAACTTTTTTAATTGACACATAAGTGTTGAACTTCTTGTATGTGTTTTGTTCTGTCTTGGACTCGACACGGTGGCATATTAAATCTCTGGCTTGAGCTGGAATTACAAGCTGATTGCTGCTGCTCTCTGGCCCTCAATAAGGCAGCTGCTAAAGCAGGCCTATCAGGTGCCTGTCAAATAATTGCTGTCTTTGTGTCAAGCGGGGCTTCGCCACGAGACCAGGCAGGTGAAGATAACAAGAGCAGAAACTCTCAGCCAAAAGGCCACTGCTCCTTCACACGGAGAACCACTGACATTTACACTTGTTGTCAATGGCGGATCAATACTCAGTTTGCTGTGCCCACTGGCAGGCTGAACATCCACAGCTGTTGTTCCCGTCCCGGACAGCAGGGGGCAGCTTAACTTCATCTGAGAACAGACCTGTTGAACATCTTCATCAGCTTTCATATTCATTCCTGGCCAAAAGTGTTTTCTATTACATACATTGCAAAATGTTTTTAATTAGGGTTTTGAATGTTAAGACTTAGTTTTACAAATGTTATTGATTATTTTTTTCGTTAAAATAGATAATTTTTTAATTTAATTTCTATTACATTCCTGTTTAATTTAGATTTCTATTGTAACATCTCTGGTATACAATTTTATTATTTTGACTGCAGTTGTTTTTCAGGTATTTGTGAGAGTTATTTAATTAGTTTTGTTCCTTTGTTTTAACATTTTAAACTAAGGAGTAGTAAATAAAAAACAACCCTATAAGGTTTTTTTTCAAGAATTGGTCTTATTAGTTTTAATGAACCCTTTTTTTGTCGTAACATAGGTACTATGCATCTAATTTACTGTGTGCAATGCATTTCTATGCATTTAGAAATGATTAGTTTTAGTATCACTAATAAAACTATACTAGTGTTTATATATATATATAATTTTTTTTTTTGTATGGATTTTTTTCACTCATTCATTCATTTTCTTCAGCTTAGTCCCTTATTTATCAGAGGTTGCCACAGCAGAATGAACTGTCAACTGTTGCAACATATGTTTTTATGCAGTGCACTCTAACATTCACACTCATACACTACGGCCAATTTAGATAATCCAATTCACCTGCATCTCTTTGGACTGTGGGAGAAACCGGAGCATCCAGAGGAAACCCACACAAACACGAGGAGAACATACAAACTCCACAAAGAAATGCTGCCTGGCCCAGCCCGGAATCGAATTAGCGACCATCTTGCTGTGAGGCGACAGTGCTAACCACTGAGCCACTCCATGCATTACATTTTTTTCCATTTTAATTTTATTTAAGGTTTTTTAGGCTTTAGATTTTTATTTTTACTCTTTCTAGCAAAACTAAATAAAATGAGAAATGTTTTATTTGATTCTTTTGGGTTTCTATTTTAGTATTTACAGTTAATCTTAATAAAAAAGAAAAGAAAATCTAAATGAGAGATGTTGTCTTGAAGACAGGATTAATTATTTAAAATTAGTTATTTTTTTATATTAATTGAGTCACTCATTTTATTTTGTGTCACTTTTTCAATTAACGATAATAACCCTGGAATAAATGTCCAAATCCAGTCCTTATCCATCACAATATGGAAGCGAAACAAGTTCTGATTCCCAATTCATGCTTGCTTCAATGAAGACAGCTGTTTCCGTCATTTGCACATGATTGCCTGTCTGAAGCGTCCTGTACTGGTTCTCCACAGGTGAGAAGCCGTTTGAGTGCAAGCTGTGCCACCAGCGCTCGCGGGACTACTCTGCCATGATCAAACACCTGCGCACCCACAACGGCGCATCGCCCTACCAGTGCACCATCTGCCAGGAGTACTGCCCCAGCCTCTCGTCCATGCAGAAGCACATGAAGGCCCACAAGCCCGAGGACGTGCCTCCAGACTGGAGGATAGAGAAGACCTACCTGTACCTCTGCTACGTGTGAAACAGGCCCGTGGAAAAGAAAGCGCCCAAAGACTTCTCACCTGAAGGTTAGCTTTTGGTCCAGGCCAAAGACGGTGAAGGGCGCAAGGTCAGACTGAAGAAATGTCATGTGGAATTGTTGACCTTTTGTTTGTGACATGCATTCGTGCACATTTTTGTAGGATGTAACTGCACTCACAAATGTTTATGAAATGTAAATGTGATAAAGCGATGTGAATTTACGGAAAGTGTTAGTACAGTCCACCACTATGACAAGAATCTGCATTCCACCCATCTTCATGTTTGGTTTAATCATATTATAATAAGGATTTCGTCGATTTTTCTATCTCCATGGATGAAAATCATAAGCCATAGATTTCTTTAAGATCCCATGAAATCGACTGTGTTTAGAGGGCGGGGTTTATTGTAGGGATCATATAATAGGTTTTTGCAACTGTAGAAAAGCATTGCTTCGTCATGTGTGACTCTGGACCACAAAACCAGACTAAATTGAGATCCTCTGAAAGTTATAAATGAATAAGCTTTTCGTTGATGTATGGTTTGTTAAGACAGAACAATATTTGGCTAATGTACAACTTTTAAAATCTGAATCTGAGGGTTCAAAAAAGATAAATACTGAAAATAATCGCATTAAAATCCCTTAAAAAGGCATAACAATCAAGTTTTGATATATTCTCTATAGGAAATCTACAAAATTTCTTTATGTAATCGGATCTTTATTAATATTTTAATGATTTTTGGTATTCAGTAGAGCTGTGCAATTAATAGAAAATCCGGTTTCGATTTTGGCTTTTAACGATTATGAAAATCATTTATCGAATTAAACAATTATTCCATCATATACCGCCCCCTTTCCAGTAGTACACGTTTGTTGCTCTGCAAAGCTCAGTTCTACGTGAAAAATGACTGAAAGTATGTGCTGTAATGTAACTTTTGCAGCGCAGGATGCGCATCATTCATTGATATACGTTCAAATCATTCATATTTTTAAAAGTGCGAAATAGCGCATGCTGTTGTGTGTGTGCGCACCGCGCTCAGCCTCGGACAGGCTCGGAGACGAGCAGAGCACACACATCTAATGACATCTTAATGCGAGCGCTTTAATGGTCAAATACATGCACATTTGTGTCAGAGCTTGGTGTTTAGTGATTATTCATATAAACCCTCATTTGTGTAATTAACAAACAAGTTGAGAATCAAAAGACACGTGAAAGAGAAACCATATCAGAGCCGCACTTTTCTTAAAGTAACAGTGCCAATATCCCTGCTGCCGCCTGTTTTTATCATTAATCAAACAACAAAAGGAGAAAATCCCTCACTGCTCTTGACTGAATGACTTTTGTAGCTAAAGTTTTTTTTTCTTACAGTGAAAATGCTCAAAGCACAGTTTAAACATAACAGATTTAATAACTCATCTCTAATAACTGATTTCTTTTATCTTTGATATGATGACAGTACATTATATTTTACTAGATATTTTTTAAGATACTAGTACTCAGCTTAAAGTGACATTCGAAGGCTTAATTAGTGTAATTAGGCAAGTCATTGTATAACAGTAGTTTCTTCTGCAGACAATCAAACATATATATTGCTTAAAGGGGGTAATAATATTGAGCTATTAAAATAGGTTAAAAAAAAACAAATAAGCCTTTCTCCAGAAGAAAAAATAAATTTTTCTCTGTTAAACATTATTTGGGAAATATTTGTATATTAAAAAAATAACAGAAGGGTGAATAATTTTGACTTTAACTGATAATCGTTTTGAATCATCGTGATTACAATTATGACCAAAATAATCATGATCATGATTTTCCCATAACCAAGCAGCCCTAGTATTCAGTCATTTTGACCCATATACTGTGTTTTTGGTTATTGCCAAAAATATACCCATTCAACGTAAGACCAGGGTCTGTTGTGGTCCAGGGTCACATTTTTTGTTCACACTTTATTTTGATGGTCTGTTTGTTGAATTTAAGTTACATTGCATCTACATGCCAACTAAATCTCATTAGATTATAAGTAAGTTTGGTTGGGGTTGGGGTTAGGATTCGTGTTTTACATGTACTTACAAAGTTTCTTATAGTTAAACGTCTGTTGAAGGAGCACTATCAACAAATACACACGACCATCAAAATAAAGTGTTACCATTTTTCTCATTCAAATAAGGATTCCTGCACTTTTTTTTCCATGGATGTAAATTTAAGCCATTGACTTTTTAAAACCCCATCAAATCACTCATGTTTAGAGGCGGGGCTTATTGTAGGGATCATCCAACAGGCTTTAGTTACTTTATTAAACATAGCATCAAATAAGGATTCCTGCACTCTTTCTCCATGGATAAAAATGATTAAGGCATAGATTTTTCAAAACTCCATGAAATCGCTCATGTTTAGAGGCAGCGCTTATTGTAGAGATCATCCAATAGGCTTTAGTAGAATCATAAATATGATGTTAAACGTGAAAAGTCAGCGTTTAAGGGCATCAAAGCTAACAGAAGTGGGCTCAAAGCCTTACATTTAGATTTCATGGGAAATTAACAGGCTGTTTTGAGTCTAATAAAACATGGACCAAAGCTTAAAACTCAAATATGTTGAAGCTAAACACATTAGAGAATGAAATTATGCCCTCAGTTGCTCACTTAAGTTCATTATTAGGCTCTCTAGTCCTCAAATTTCATGATTTTTTTTAAAAACATGAGGAAATGCACAGAGCAGGACCCATTAGTCATTTTCTTTAAAGCGTAATAAAGTGCTTAACAAAACAGCTTTTCTCAGAGGTACATCCAAATTGTGCTGCCAAGCAACTGTAGTGGATGTTCAGGGACATTTATTCAACCTTAAATGACTACACTGTGCACTTTCAGAGTTTCAGAGGCCCTTTTTGTGCTTTTCAGCACCACGTTTAGCATTTAGTTCATTCAGACAAAGCCAGAGAGGTGAATCTGTGTGATTTGCGATTGATTTCAGGCTTTCAGGCGCTTTGACACCAAATAATACAGTATGTGATTTCATTTTACGTTCACATGGTAACATTTAGCAACTGCAGGTATTTTAGCCTAATGAGTTTATCATACTCATAAATCAAGTTAGGAATTAAAAAGAGATTATTTTTTGAAAATTGAAAAATGCAGTAAATGTTTTCTGCTGAAGATACTTTTAGTTAGCTTACTAAAGTTTGTATTCTGTCATCTCTGTTCAGACGTTTTACTTGAAATGCCTACTTTTTTTTACCTCACGTGCTAGATTTATTTTTGTACTTTTCTTTTTCTCTTATTTCCTGCTGAGCTGTTTTTAAGTGCAACTGAATAATCACGTCATTAGACCCACACGGAATCCTGCAGATTTAAGTATGGAACAGACGTCTGTAATGTGATAAATCCACACCTTATGTGTTTGGATTAGTTGGTAAACGATTTACTTATCAAATAAATTGTGGTATTTTATATTAAGAGCATTTAAAAATGTTAAAATGTCTATTCTGCAATACTAAAAGTATTCTCTAGAAATAGAGTAAAGGTGTGGTCAAGTCTCATTGTTTAGTGAATTTCCAAAGGCAAAATTCCAATATGCTCTCATTCTACAGTAATCTGTAACTATTTTACATTTTGATGAACTGGTGGCAGATTCTTACAATTTTTGCCGTCTCATTTTCAAGTTTTCATGCAGTCTTACACCCTTCTAACAGATAAATCACAGGGTGAACCTGCACAGCAGCATTTTTTAAGTATGAGATTCTTAGAATTCAGATTCTTTCAAAACAGTTATTTGTTTTGAGATTGCGTTGGAAATCCAGTCATGTCAATCGAAATCAGATGTTTTGAAAATTCTGCTTATGTGCAAATTTAAAAAAATCAAAAAGGCAACTATAACACACTGAACAAATAAGCCAATTGTTTTATTTGAACACGTTTTTTGCTAAGTTTTCTCTGGGTCTGCTCATACATATCATTGTATGAGCGGACCATACTATGGCTATGCTTATACACTTGGCCTGCTCATACATAAATCAAAAAGGCAACTACATTTAACACACTGACCAAATAAGCCAATTGTCTTATTGGTGCAAGTTTTTTGCAAAGTTTTCTCTTGGTCTGCTCATACATATATTTTTTATAATTAGGTTTCACTTGATCTTTTGAACTTTTTAAATTCTTTTTTAGACAAATCTAAATCTTAAGTTTTCGTATTAATCACATTGTACAAACTCTTTAAATTATGTATGAATTTATGTTTTTTTTTTCTAGAGATTGTGTATTGATTCAATGGGAAACAACATGATTTGGAACACATGCAAATTTGCCATGTTGACATGCTATATGGTTTGATGTTGAATTCAAACCATTGTGCTTCATTGCTACAGGATTGACAATTGAATGGACAATAGTTTGACACTCTCGAATGTCATTTTGAAACTCTTTAATAATTAGGAGACTAATTTATACAAATTTGTGCAGTCTTATTCGTAGGTTTTTTCGTAAGAACTGCTTGTGCCCAATAACCAATAAGTCTTTCCAAAAAGTCAAAGAACAAAACAATGTGGAAAAAAAATCACAGTGCAAACTGAAACCTCCTCATAAAATAGTTACGTTTCCATAGGATTATGCTGAAAATGCTGTCATTTCAGTGGGAATCAACAGGATTTGGAATTTAGCAATAAATCAACTGACTCAGTTCAGACTCAGTTCAAAAAACTGGTCATGCTGTGTACAGTACACTAAAAGAAAGCTAAACTAAATTAACGTGTGCGCTTTGCCTTTGAATTAGCTCTGAAATTTGCTAATTTGACCACATTTTGATTATGGATTCCCTCTGGGTCTGAGTATCATTCGGTAGCATTTTAGCATTAAGCTTAGTAGCAGCGTTCATATCCACTTGTCGGCCATGTGTTTCAGGGCTACCTCTACTCTGCTCTCAGTTTGCACTAAAGCAAAAGAACACTTTTTGTTTAGCTTGTAACTAGCATTTGCATTCACACCCACTTATGTTTCCATTGGCTAAAAACAATCCCGGGTTTGTTCGTCATTATATTTACACTCCTTACAATGAAACGCGTTCAACCTGAAAGGGTAGGCGCATACATTCTAGATGATTTTTTTTAGCATAGCATTGAGAGAAATGTCGAGTTATTAGATACTTGAGGGGATAAACTTGAAACAATGTGAATAAAGATGATCTTTTTATGTGAAACGGTTATTAGAGATGCTGTGCAGTTACATGGGGAAGTTGGCTAAAGAAAATGGAAAGAAAAAAAAAAAACACAAAAAGGTGATTTTCTGTGAAAATAAATCTCTCGACAAGAGCCAAACGCGGCACTTTGATAAGGGAATATGTCGTATTTTTGTACGGGGTATCGTGCGACCCCTGTTCTTTTTGTTCATTTTGAGTGAGGCGAATATTTTTACAGTATCTTTTGCATTCGTGCTTGTTCTTGATTTGAGTGGAAAACTGTTTTCTTGTGCTTATTTTACAATGTTGAACATATACGAGTAGTCGATGTTCGTAAAACATATCGTAGTCATTGCTGCTGGGTGTCAGTTCATACGATGATATGATGATGATTCCACATTTTGAAAGTATAAAATGACTGCGTGAACCAATGCCAAGAGGTCTGTGCGACAGAGGACGGAGCACCTGTAAGACGTGAAAAGTAAAGCTGTTTCTGTGTGTTTGTGTCGTGTTCACCGCTCACTGTAAGATTAGAGTCACCTTATAAGGTCTGTACTGGTTCTCGTGTGTGCAGTGTGAGTCAATGTGGTCGACTTATTCAGTGTTAAAAACATGCACCGGTTAGCAACAGAGAGGTGCTTTCACGGATGTACACTCTGTAAATGATTCGAAACATCTTCTGCCCTTTGTATTTGTGTCTTTATGCAAAGTCACCTTGATATGAACTGTGCTCTTAGGCAACCAGGGATGCCTTCACTTTCTAGAACGTCGCAAATCTTGAGTTTAGGACAAACGGTAACAATTGCCACGCATCCAACAAGCTTTTTTCGTTTTTAAACAAGTAGTTTAAACAACGCAACTAATAAATCTACAGGTGAAATCTTGGCATCCCTGCTGCCGTATCACTGTGTTTTACTTTGCTTTCAGACAGGAATAGCCATGTCACTCAGTGCTCCCGTTATTTGTGCCATTGTTACACAAATTAATACTCGGACTGAGGATTCACGTGGGACCAAACGACCATTTTCGCTCCATTCGCCTTCTCCTAGAGACAAGGCCGCGTAGTTGGTGTCGAAATGGTTTTACATTCGTCGTGTTTTACTTTATTGTATTGTCTACCTCAGCACCAGTTCTTTGTGTAACTTTTAAAAAGGTGCCCAATTATTGTTACTTTTGGTTTTTTGTGCATATTTTTGTATTATAGCCTTGTAGGGTTTTCGTTC